GGGGCGATAGTCTCATGTGCGCAGTGGGAGGGGGGAGGGAGCGATGTGAGATTGTCATTCACCTTGACCCCGACCTGTGCAATCATCCTCTCCTCTTCCGGAGGGAATTGGGACAATGAATTCCGTGCGGCTATTATGCCATCAATCAGCGAACGCGCGCCGCATGCAGATGTCAGGATTGTGTCCTCCACTGTGTGCCAGATCATAAATACCTACCGGGGCCGGAGTACCCCCAGGGCCCCCACACAAACTCCATGCAGATAGAGGACCAGGGGGAGGGGGGGGGGTTATCGATAATTAGGACTTCATGAGGTATAATGCTAAATGTCTCTCTCGTGCTTCTCCTCTTCTCTAGAACCCCCTCCACCTGCCATCAGGCACTCACCAACCCTTACATCTGACCTCCGTCCTCCCCTTCAGTCTTCTATCTGACCTCCGTCCTCCCCTTCAGTCTTCTATCTGACCTCCGTCCTTCCCTTCAGTCTTCTATCTGACCTCCGTCCTCCCCTTCAGTCTTCTATCTAGAGTGTAAGCTCCTCTGTACAGAGACTGATGTGATTGGCTCAGTGTCCTCTGTACTGCGCTGCGGTATATGTCAGAGATATATAAATGTATAATAGGAATAATGTATTTTGTGTCTTGTTTCTGTTTCATGGAGGATTCCGATCATGAGTCTCGTGTGGAAGAAGCCATAACCCGGATGGTGGTGTGCGTCTTTAAATCTGCTGACACCTCTGACCTCCCCGATGATTGGCTCAACCCCACTGAGGTGAGTGTCGGTCGGCTTTGTATCTGCAGATGTGAAAGAGCTGCGAGCCAATCGATAAATCACAAACCTTACAATTGTTTTTATTTCAGCAGGTGTAGTACCTGAAATCTGTCTTGAGTTGCCACATACCAGGTGAAAGCTGAAATCAGGCCTGCAGCAGGAATCTGTTTTCTGATTGGTGATAGGAGGTGGCACTTAAGGCGGAGCTTATCAGAGGGTGGAGCTATGGTCAGGGCTCTCCAATGTGATGTCCACACGCTGTTGTCCAAAGCCCGAGCGGAGAATTGACATGAAATGTGCGCAATTGGACGCTCACCTTTTGTAAAAGCTCCCCCCCACCCCCGCTCACCCTCAGTACCTGATACTCACCCCGCCAGCACTTCCCTGCTCCTACTTCTGGTGGCAACTCCTGCTGCTTTCAGGGATGGGGGAGCATGTGACCTCCTCCCATGTGCTGGGGTATAGCAGCCAATCTCTAGGCTCGATTGCTGTCACGTGACTAAAGGGAGTGACATCACCGCCCCCTTAGTGTTTGAAAGCAGCTAACACTGGGACTTTAGTGCCGGCCGTGACTGAGGAAGGGGGGAGTGCGGGAAAGGTGCAACCTCGGCACTCCAGCTCTTGTGGAGGTCTCATGAGGCATTGCAAGACTCTGCAATGATGGGATTTGTAGTTTTATTACAGCTGAAGTTCCGAGGTCGCCTACTGAGGGTTCTAACCCTCCAGCACTCCATCCCAAACCCAGAATAGAACGCTGTGCCTCACAAACCTGCAATGGATTTGGCAGTCGGAATGCGTTTGAGGTCTGTGAGGCTTCACCCTCCATATAATTAATTATGAATTGATCGGCGCTCGGCCCGGCGTACGGACCGCATGCTGGCGGCTATGGAATTTAGCGCTTTTTATATGTGCGATTTTTCCTCTTGCATGCCCCCCCATCCCCCGCAGAGGCTGATAATCTCCTCCAGCCGCTCTCACTGAAGCGATGGATTATCTGTGGTTTTATTCCCGCGTATTGACGGCGGCGCGGAGCTTTTATCTGACGCTTCACCCCCTCCCCCCCCAGCCAATCGATGTCCCTGATTTCACCGGCCCGCCATCGTCTCCCTTTGTATACATTTTAGTGAGCCCTCTTGAGGGACAATCACGCCGATTGATCGGCATCAAAGGCGCAAAGTTTCGGACGCGGCGGATCGGGAATCTTTCCATCGCAGCGAGCTTAGGCGCCGAGCGGGCGAGAAATGAAGGAGAAAAATCTGCTGATCCAGAAGTTCCGCCGGAACTCGAGGAGAATAGAAACGTTGTGAGAGACGGTGACGGGGAGTGTGTGGAAGAGAATAATAGGAGGCCAGCCGAGCCCGACGTCCATTAACCCTTTCCCACACCTCTTTCTTCTCTTGCAGGGAGCGGCCACCTCTCACGCAACCAACCTGGAGTACCTGAACCAGGCGAGGACCGCCTACCTGCAGCACGAGAGAGCGGCGACGGCGGGCGAGTCGGGTGGCGCGGCCGATGACGGGGACGCTCCGCCGCTGAAAAAGAGACGGCTGGACAGGTCTTCGGAGGTGATCGGTGGCCACTTCGGCCAGTATCTCCTCCCCGTGTTTCCTGCGTCAGGCGATCGGAATGCAGGAGGTGAAGAGGACGCTGCGCTAAGGGCGGAGACTCAGGATGAAGGAGGTGCCAGTCCCGGAGCGGACACAATCATCACCAGCGACGCGGTGCTGGACTGTCTGGTGAACCCGCGGGTTGTCCGCTTAGTGGCTCAGCTCCTATTGAAGGGGCCCTGTAGGTAGTCATGTGACCAACACGCTAAAACGAGACATTATAGTTGTTATAAACTCTCAATTTTATTCCAGAAATGAATCCAGACAAATATAAATTACCCAGCAAAGTATTTCTTTACATTTTTGCCCAAGCTCTTACAGTCATAATGTTGCCAAACAGCTCCAACCCTCCGAGCTCGGCTTCCCTGAACTTCCTGTCCAGTGCAAGGTCACAAGGGACAGAGTAGTCTCCAGCAACTGTCCATCTATTAGCTCGGGGGACGAGGGAGGAGCGAGGGTCTGGGAGAAGGGAGCAGGACACTGTCTTGCCTTTCTGTGTCTGAGTATTTGTGGTGACACACACAAAGGTGGCTCCATAGGACCCTGCACGGGAATGGAGTCACCCTAATACAGGACATCAGGGCCAGTGCTCAGGGGACCGGCTGATTCTGCAGGAAACTAAAACTTTTAACATCAAGGAGCGGCATCCATTGTAAGTGATTTCATCAGCATGTGAAATAGTTTATAAACCTTTTGACTTTTATATCATTTTAAGTAACAAGATTTGGTAACAATGTTTCCATTCATTTTCTTTTTTTTTTTTATGGAAAACTATAAAACGTCCCAGACAGGATGTGGAAGTGAGATGATTGTCAGTATTGAGTTTATCATGCAGACGGTGGGGGACACAATGGGGGGTGGTTATGATGGTGGAGCGGGCAATGGGGGGTGGTTATGATGGTGGAG